TTTTAGATTTTTTATATTTAAAATGAGATGTTTATTCTGTATTTGATTGTGTTTATCTGCAGTTAGTTACACGAATTCAAATATGGGATGAAATCGGATAKGGATGAACGGGTTTAAGAGTTTTTAAGAGTTTAAGAGTTTTAAGAGTTTTTAAGAGTTTTAGTCAAATGCTTTATAATATAGTATAGATTAATATGTTTAACTTGTTCTTATCAAATGTGTGGGTATTTGGTGAGTTTTGCGTACTCGGTATATTTGATTTTTATAAAGCTAGTGAGATACCTATATTTGAAAATTTTGGACTCTTTGATAAATAAATCTTGAGGGTGTTATTATGATGATTTATTTAATAAATGAGAATTTATATGTTAATACACTCTTAGGTGGCGTTTGTTTTTTAAGAGGTTCTGAAGTCTGAAGTCTGATTTCACTTCTGAATTTTAAGAGGTGGTATTGAAGTCTGAAATCTGAAATCTGAATCAGTCAGACTGTTTGTTTTTACGTCTGAAATCTGAAATCTGAATCAATCAAGTTTCGGATCTGATAGATTTGGATCGATCTGGGTCATGATTTTACGAGAATATGTGGATCGATCTGGATCGTGATTGATTTGGAGATCGAATGTCTAGCGAGATAGATTTGGAGGACTAAATCTGGAGGTGAGCATGGAGGGGAGAGTCTGGAGGGAGCGATTAAGAGGATTTAAGTGATTATGTTATCACTTTTTTCAGAGCAAATTAAGAGCTTTTCAGCTCTAATTTATATAAAAAAACAAACGGTCTGAAAATAAAAACGTCTGACCGGTTCAGACTTAAGAGGCATTAAGTGGTTTTTTTCAAAAAACAAAAAAGCCCTTAGTGTCTTTTGTTTTATAAATCATTTGGAAAATACGTTTTGATGTATTATAAAATATTTTTGAGATAAAATGGTATGGTTTCACTTGAAAGATGAAATAAGGGATTTTTGGGTTAATCATACTTTTGGAGCATCTGTTTACATAACCAATGTTTAAACACATTTTACCGTTTACAATGACTTTTTTTAATAGTCAATCGCGTTATTAAGCCTTTGGCTTCATTTACGATGACTCTTATATGCAATTATGACATATTTAGTTGTGAATTGTACGTTTTCAGTGTATTGGTCCTCTATCAGGGGTCATCGTAAATTGGGAATTTTATCGATTATGATGAGTATAGTGGTTGGACCACTGGTCTTTCATTTTGAGTTACAAGGTATATATCCCAATTTGAATCATATGATTATTCTTTACTTGTCACTATATTCTGGATGATCTTTTCAAGTAGGTACTAGGAGGTAGGGGTGCTCAAAAACCCGATGAACCCGATCAACCCAACCCGATTTTAAAAAAAAAACGAACCCGAGGTAACCCGAACATTGATTGATTAGAAAATTAAGTAACCCGACTCTATTGGGTTGAAATCGATTTGGGCCCAATGAATATCGACCCAACCCGATCACATCGTTTGAAACTTGAAAGCATCAAAACACACGGGAGCCCTGTCTTGTTTAACCTAGCTGGCGCCCTACTTCTCCATTTCTCCTTCCTAAACTCAAATCAAACAGCCTCCTTGATTTACACAACGAGCGAGAGGAGACTGGCGATGGATTGAGTCGATTGACAGCCTATTTACACAGCGAGCGAGACCTTTGGCGAGCGAGAGCGAGACCAGCGAGCGATTGACAGTTTATTTACACAGCGAGCGAGAGCGAGACTGGTGTGGTGACAAAGATAAGGTAACAGCCTTCGATTTACAGTTTTACACAACCTTTGATTTATATATACCTTTGATTTACACAGCTTTCGATTTACACAGCCTTCGATTTACACTAATCTTACACTAATCTTGCGAGTTGCGACCCAGCCTTGCGACAAAGATAAGGTAACAGCCTTCGATTTATATATACCTTACACATCCTTCGATTTACACTACTGTGTTCCTACTTCTCTTGTCAAACTCTAATATATACCTTCATCAGACTATATATACCTTCATCAGAATCGATTTATATATATCTTATAGCTTGAGAATCAGACTGCTAGGTTGTGTAAAATTGTATTTTGAGAATCAGACTTCGATTTACACTACTGTGTTCCTACTTCTGTGTGTTTCCAATTTTTTTGTATTCCGGTATCCACTGTAAATCAATAATGGGAGGTTTTTGATCTCTTCTTAATTCTTACAGTTTCAAATTCAATGGATGCTAATGCTACCCCAACCCCAATATGTATTGATAAAGAGATCAAGGAAGAACCAAACATCGATAAAAAAAGGTCGGGTGGTAGACGTGGTCTTAGATGTGCCTACAAGATGGAACTCAACTTTTATGATGTTAGACGTGGCACTTAAATTTGAAAAGGCATTTGCAAGTTATGAGGACGAAGATCATAAGTACTTGAGTCACTTTCTAGAGAATGAGAATGGGAAAAAGAGAGTTGGACCACCTAAGAGTATTGATTGGAAGTGTGTTTCGGCTTTTGTTAAWTTTCTCTCTACTTTTTATGAAGTTACTTTAAAATTTAGTGCYACTTTGCATGTAACTTCTAACAACTTCTATCATGAGATTTGTGAGATCCATACACACTTGAATTCTTTGTGTGAAAGTAATGATTCTATATTGTATACCATGGCCAAGAAGATGAAGACTAAGTTTGAGAAATACTGGGGGGATCCAGATAACATCAATCCGATGTTGCTTTTGTCTGTTATACTCGATCCTAGGTACAAGATGAAATATTTGAAGTTTCTTTTTGAGTGCCTTTATGATAGTCAAACTGTTGCCAAGATTATTGTGAAGGTGGAAGAAATCCTTAACGAGTTATTTGAAGACTACAATGTTGAGTTTGGGGGTGGTGAATCAAAGGTTAGTTATATGTGTAAATTGTTTTATTTTATTATGCATTTTAATAAGTTCATGTTGTTTACTTCTTCTTTTTATCTTCAATATGTATAGGTTGCCAAAAATGACTCATTGAAGAGCAATGAAACTCATAAGAGGTCATTATTGGAAAGTTATATGCAAAAACAACAATTRCAAGTGCYGGAGAAAATGAMCGATCTTCAAAGATATTTGGTTGAAGAATCTCTCGATCCAACAACTACCGGATTTGATATTTTACTATGGTGGAAAGCAAATGCTAATAGGTATGTCATTTTATCTATGATTGCAAAGGATGTTCTTGCCATTCCCGTGTCTACGGTTGCTTCCGAATCCGCGTTTAGTACTTGTGGACGTATTTTGGACTTATTTAGGAGTTCATTGAGTCCAAAAATGCTTGAGGCATTAGTGTGCACCCAAAGTTGGTTGAAAGTAAGTCAYGAAGGKATTYAAAYAAAKGAGTGTTTGGATGAAACACAATCTTATGATTTCTTGGAAGAAGGTAATTTCTAAACATTGTTTGGATTATGTTATCTATTTTAAATAAATTGTTAAMTTTAGCTTTGAATTGTAGATGACAATCACGACATGACCAACCTCAACGTCAAGAAAGCAAAAGCATCGGGTTCGGGGTTGAAAACGTCTAAAACTATTGTTGTTGATTGATGTATTATCATTTGGTTTAAACATTTTTATTGTAATATTTAAATATTTGATGAACTTGCATATTATTTTGAATGGTCGGTCGTATTTCAAAAGAAAGTTTCTATTATTTTTATGTGATTTTACATTGTTTAAACATAACCCGATCAACCCGAACGGGTTGCGTTGGGTTGGGTTGAAAATTTTCAAACCGCCAACATTGGGTTGAGTTGTTAAAACGACTCCAACCCAATCAACCCGGGCCGTGAGCACCCCTACTAGGAGGGTTGAGTCTGGAGGTGCTACTTTGGAGGTAGGCACTAAAAACTCCGTCGCTTGGGTAATGCCTTCGAGGTAGTCCTTAAGTGTTCCGAGCCTTAAGGTGTTACTAGTGGGAGTAAATACTAAGGTCAACCGATTCTTGAGATGAAACCTCTTAGGAAGTCGTATGGAACACTTGGGTTTTAAGTCGTGAAGTGTCATGCAACAACGTTGTTCGAGTGACATACTTTTGTGTTCCCGTCACTCTCAATGGATGCAGATCTCCCCTGTTATTGTTAAGTGTATTTTTGGATAACTTATTATCCTTGTTTTAGTATTGCTTGGGTTTGGTGAGAAGCCGTGATTTATGGTTTTGATATATTGGATCCTCTTTATGTATTAATATCTATGTGTTATCCTTTTCTACATCGATTTCTTCTTGTGTAGGGTGTTTGTATATGTGGCTGGTGCAGTTGCGGTGGAGACTCCAAAACTCTTGATTGCCACATCTCTTTGTCTAGGTTCAGCCATCAAAACTTTGATTGCCCACCCCACTAGACTGTGGCTAATGTAAGAGGATCTGGTGCTATGCAGATGACTTGACCCGCAACCTAGATTGTGACTAATGTCGCTTGCATCTCTTGTACACCATCGCATATAATTGATTATAATAAAAAGATGTTTTTCACAATTTCGTAAAATAAAAATATTTTCATTTGTACAATTCCCTAATTATCAATATGATAGATTATGATTTTGGTGGTAGTAATGCATTCTTTTATCAAAATTGTGCGCACGATAACCACACCAAGGTTTCTTTTGCTAAAATGCACCACCGTTTTTCAAAATATCAGCCACCCAAAAGGTGTATGATTAAGGACCAGCCATCGTTAGAACCATTTCCAGGAATATACAAATCCAAATTTCGGTTAAACCCCAGAAAAATAAAGTCAAAAAAATCAAGAAAAAATGGGAAGCACGAATGCCCTCATCTACAATCTTCATCTCAACACAAACAACTGCTTCAACTGTGTGAATTCAAGAACAAATCATTCAACCTCTTTGCATATCAATCATAGAAAAAGCCCCTTGAATGTCTCGAGTAAAAGGCAAAGAAAGATCAACAAATTCGTTTGCTCGGCTATCGAAGATGTGAGGGAGATGCAAAAAAGACTTGGAATTGGGGGTGCGGGTTCAGTTCTTGATGATAGACCTGGTATGTTCAATGAACAATCTTCAATTGATTAACTTCAACTTGTAATCGCTCAATTATGCTTTCCCTTGAGGTCTGAATAAGCTGAAATCGATAGTAATTATTTCCCTAATATGGGGTTTCTTTTTCATATTTGAAAACCCCCTTTGTCACTTCCTGTAAATTGTGAGGTGGGCAACTGATAACTTTGCTGTATTGAATTTTAGTTGATTTTAATGTTATTATTGTAGTATTATAACTGTGGTTGTAGTGCTTTGAAAAGTGAATATTTGTGGATTCTTTTTGGTAAGAATTTAATCACTGATTTATATACCTGTGGACTTGGGAAGCTATGCCTCTAATGGCTGTTTGTGTATATGCTTTTTTTTCCTGTGAGCATGTCCAGGCTATGCCTAGACTCAGTCCTGCAAATTATGACTGCAACTCAGTAGCCATAATTGTTGTCTACACCTGGAATCAAACCCTTGACAGATGAGATATTCCATCTTATCCCCATGACCTCAACCACTATGTCATAATCCTTGTGGTTATGTGTTTATGCTTTGATGGTAATCCCTGTGGGCTTGGGAAGCTATGCCTTTAATGGGTGTTATTTGTATATGCTTTGAAGGTAGACTCACAGTCATTTGTTAGTAATTTGAATGATGTTTTCTTGAATCTTGTTCTTTATGGGGTTCCATGAAATTGCCATTTTTTCAGGTCTAGACTTGGTTCATTACTAATCGCTGTTGTTAAAATTGTGTGGTTGTATGGTTTAATGGTTCAGTATCTTGTTTATTAAGTTTGATGGTTCATCAGTGGTTCGTTTTGTTCTTTTTGAAGTATATAATATTGCATATGTGGCAAATACACATGCACACTCTTGACCTCTGGTGAGGTTCAAGCCCTTGACTTTCTAGGAGGCTGAGCTTTACTAGTAACCTGGATACCATTGGGCCAATGACCCTTTGCTTAGTAGTGGTCAAGTATTGGGATTTTAGACGATTAAGGGTCAATTCATTTATACCATTCTCAAAAATGGATCAGAAATCACATTTTCTTTGCTCGTTCACAAAATGAAAATGGCGTATATACTAATATTATTTTCATAATTGTACATATAGAGGTGGCTGATGACATTGACGAAAATGCACCTGCGAACAGTGGTCCAAATGACGGAAGTGCCCTTTATAATTTTCTGTATCCGGATAAAGAGCTCCTTCCTGAAGACAAAGAAATGAGCATATTTGATCATCTTGAGGAGCTACGCGAGAGAATTTTTGTGTCGGTTTTGGCGGTCGGGGCTGCCATCTTGGGATGCTTTGCATATTCAAAGGATCTCATAATGATTCTTGAAGCTCCGGTTAGAACCCAAGGTGTTCGGTTCTTACAGTTAGCTCCCGGCGAGTTTTTCTTTACAACAATAAAGGTTACTATTGAAACCCGTATGCGTTTCTTGCAACATGTATTTCGTCATCAATATTCGTTTCATTATCATATTTAACACGTGTGAAAGAGGTGGTGTTAGTCTTTCCTACCTTTCGTATATTATATATGCATCTACTTGTGGGACCCTTTACTGTTTGTCTACCTCCGTATGCAGAGGTAAGGTCTACACACATCCTACCCTCCTCAGACCCTACCATTGTGTGGGATATACCAGTTCTTTTGGTTTGGTTTATTTAATAGTGGTGAATCAAAATATCTCTGAGATGATAATATATTTTGATATGTAGGTATCAGGATATTGTGGTCTACTTCTAGGAAGTCCTGTGATTCTTTATGAGATCATAGCTTTTGTATTACCTGGATTAACAAGATCGGAAAGAAGATTTCTGGGCCCGATCGTTCTAGGATCCTCGGTACTTTTCTACGCCGGAATCGCTTTCTCGTACGTAGTTCTCACTCCGGCTGCATTGAACTTCTTCGTTAACTATGCAGAAGGCGTTGTTGAATCATTGTGGTCCATTGACCAATACTTTGAGTTCATATTGGTACTCATGTTCAGTACAGGATTGTCTTTCCAGGTAATCCTCTCTCTTTACGGTTGTATGTGGCTCTCTCTCTTTGAACACTTTTCACAAGTCGGGGTCCTTGGGAAAATAATTGTTTCACGATTTGGGGGTAGAGTTTATATCTTACCATTCCCACACCTCACCTCCCGGTGTGATATACTAGGTTTTGTGTAGAATCATTAAGTGGTCAGAATGATTAAGAGGCTCACATGATATAGTGCAAAATGAAATATAATTGTTTGGTAATTGTTTACGATGAAATTAGGGCTTTTAATGGTTAAGGGAGACCCATGATACAAAATCATTCAGAGGGTTTTAGAACCATTAAGAGGCAGACTTTTTTTTTTGTCAAACAAGATTCACATCTTAACGATTCAGAGATTGCCTCTTAATGGAACTATTAAGAGGTAAACAAACAACCAGGCTACTTATCATCTTTGAATATGATATTGGTTCCATAGATCTTTTAGATGTTCTTGAAGGTCGCATTTGCTACGTAGATAGGACTGGACTGGACACGTGAGCGAGAGTGAGATAGGCGGGTAAAAGAATTATGTAAGATTTTTAGGGTTTTAATTTGACATGGGTATTTTAGTAATTTACTAATATTGTCCCATTTCCGTGAATTTCGTTTCACCTATTTTGGTGGTGCTTTCGCGTCCCATGGGTATTTTAAATTTGAGAATATTAAGTTTGACCTAAAAAGTGTATTTTTACAGCGGTTATATTTGTTTTTGTACACAGGTGCCGGTTATACAACTTCTACTAGGCCAAGTTGGGTTAGTGTCGGGTAACCAAATGTTATCGGTATGGAGATATGTAGTCGTTGGTTCGGTGGCTGCAGCAGCAGTCGTGACTCCATCGACCGATCCACTGACTCAGATGCTTCTTGCTGGACCCCTTTTGGGTCTTTACTTTGGTGGTGCATGGACCGTTAAGCTCATTGGCAAGTAAGTAGCTCGAGCCCAGATCAGTCCATGGCGCATGCTGATTTGTGTACAATAGAATGACAAAAAATTCATATAGACATACAATGATCATGTCTTTTTGTAGTAAATATTCATTATTTGTTACTGGTACATAATACGGGCTCAATTATAACGATCATTGAGTGCCACTCGGTTCAACCCCAACCGTGGCACGGCTCCGCTCTTCCCCACACCATCAACATGAGCTCCATTTGGCCAAAATCGATCAAAAGGATACAAAGATAACAAAGTTCGGTTGAGAACCTCATCCCCGTTACAAACTAGGAAACCACCGAGACCAAGTCATGTGTCCATTTCGGACACATGACATGTTCTTGATGGTTTCTCGATTCCCAATAAAAACTAGTGTTATACCCATCCGTTGGTCGGGTATAAAATCGTATGCAACATCACTTTATTATCGAATTTTTTTTAAAAAGATGATTCATATTCAACAATTAAAAAATAAATCCCATCTTCAAACATTTATGAAGTGTTACTAGAGTTGTGATCGTTCACATTTTCGATCACTAAACTTCTAAAACATGGACAGTTAAAAAGCTCGTTCATAGAACATAAATCAAAGAAACGTAATACCTCCCGTGAAGGACATGTATTCCGTCTTTTGCACTATTTGGCCATAACTCTAGCTCAATTACCCTCACACCGAGCTGTATACTGCAATTAGTGTTGATTTGATTTCCTGTAAGCCTGAATGTATGAAATAATGTTGCAATGGTAGAGTCGTCATATCATGGTTCCCAAAATGTTGAATTTCAGTAGGCAGGACTACGGACCAGAATTAATACTCATTTAAGAACTTTAGTACATCGATGTGTAGTTGTAACATATGTTCTAAGAATATTAATGAACATGGAGATTGAATTACACAAATGCAATAGCTGCTGGTAACTAAAATTGACATGAAAGAAGGTAAAGCATGGAGGTATTGTAGTAGGATTAACCGAGTCAAACACCAAGTTTTTTTTAACTCTTATCAAGCTGTATGCAAATTAAATATTCTAAAGTAACATTTTTAAAACATATATGAGATATTTTTTCAAAAAGCAGATATTTTTAAAAAAATGTTAGCGAAATAAAATGTGTTTTACAAGTGTTATTAATAAATAATTTTCAAATTTTCAAATTAATTTAATATATTTATTAAAAATATGTCGACTCAATTTTTTAAAAAGAAATGTGATATATATATTTTTTTTTCTTCAAAATGAATATTTTATTTGTACAAAAACGTAATAATTCTTATTTTCCTAGTTTAAAAAGTACATTTTAAAACATTTTTAAATGTTAATGAGATAAATTGTGATAAACAAGTCTTCTTAATGTTGTTATCTTAATGAATAATTTAGATTTTTATAATTAATGTAATATATTTATCAAATAATATGTAAATTTTTTTAAAATACAATATGTAATAAGAAACATCATATCAGCAATATGTTATACATGAACAATGACATGACATGACAAAACTAATTACACGGGGAAGGCTAATGGCATCCCTCTCACTTGCTAATGGCACCCCTATACAACTATGTGATCATTACACTTCTTATTTTTTTTTTGTAATTTTGTCTTTTTGTTGTCTTTTTTTATTCTAATTTTTTTTAATTATCTTATTATAAATATATACTATTACAATTATTATTTTTTATTCTATAATAATTTAATATTAAAAAATTATTATTTTAATCATAATTTTTATAAAAAATATTATATATTTTCTTTTCTCTTTTATTATTTTATAAAAACGTTACTTTCTCTTAATAATTATTTTTTAAGAAATATATATATATATATATTAGAAGCGTACTCGCGCAATGCAGCGAGATACATCGTGATTTTAATATTTCATTTTATTCTTTATCTCAGTCGATGTTATAATATGACTTTATGTGATTTTGAGATAGCGATGATGTTTTTATTTTTGAATA